CTCTATACTCTAAAATCTCCTCTAACTGAATATCTGGAATTTTCTTCTATAAGATCTTGGCCTTTCCTCACAGTGTCTCTGGCTCAGAAGTGTCAGTTGAATGGCTCTCAGTAAACGTCCCTGCCAGGCTTAGAATCTGCCACTCCTCCTGAGTTAAGAAGCCTCCAGCTACTCCCTTATTGTCTCAGTGGAGCCTTAGCAACTGGTTCTGACATCTCCGTGTTCTCAGAAATGGTGCAAACCTAGCTTTCACGTCTACAGTCAGCTGTGACCCTTTCTGAACTTAAACCATCCCCAGCCGTTGTCATCAGATAAGTGCGTCCCTACCTGAGATGTTCCTACAGACACTAAGACCAGTAGGAGATGTGCCGTAACTGGGGAGGAAGGACAATAAATACGACACGAGGAGTTCCAAGGTGCCCTCAGGAGCAGTGAGTGTGACATCCTCAGCCAGCCGCCCACGCATCCAGGACTAAGACCATGGCCTAGCATGGAAAGCCAGTTAGCGTGGCCTCTAGTGACTTCTGTGAAGTGGCCTATGTTGCCACCAGGGTCTTGCACTGAATGCAAGACAGGTGTCAAAACTCAAGCCAGTGATGGAGTCAGAACAGATCAGCTACAGCCAAACACAAGGTCGGCCCTGAGACCAGAAGCCCTGAGGAGAGCCCCTTAGCCATTAGCACCATGGACTAGCCCCATCCTCAGGAGCACACAGGCCACTAGCCGGCTGCACAGAGGGCCTTACTCATGAGATATTAAGGTAAATGGAGCTTTGGACCACTTATCTCCCAATCGGGCCTCCAGAAGGGACCCGAGTCAAGAAAATCAATGCACAACATCAATACGTAGAGCTCTTTAGCTACAATAAAAGCACGTATTAATGGAAGGAAAGGATAAAAATAGACCCTCTCGTTCCCTGAGACTACTGATGGGAACAACCCGCCTCTCCTAATAATTCTATTAGGCATTGTCTACGTTTGCTCAGTACTCTACAGTTTACCGAGGCTGAGGCTGAAGCCAGTCATGCATGTTTCATGATCCCCATTTTCTGGAAGAGGAAGCAGGCAGGGGAGTTTTCCTCTGCCTGAGGAGCCAAGACTCTGCTTTTCTGATCAAGCCTCACGTTCTCTCTGCTGCAGCCTAGCACCCTTGTGGATTTCATGCGGATTTCATCCACCCACACTCTGGACCAGAGTTCCAGGATGCCCAGGAAGATGCTCCAGTGTCTGCCTGGCCCAGGCCTGCGCCAGGGGCTCTTGGTCCAGAAACTCTGATCCCTGCTAAGCCTGAATTAGAACAAATAGCTCAGGAAGGCATCTCGGAAGAAAATCCCTGTCCTCTGAAAGAAAAGACTATGCCGTGGTTGGATGCAGCCCAGACAGAAGGGACAGAAACTAAAGGAAAGGGGGCGAGAGGAGGAGGCCAGACTTGTCCACCAGGCGCCCATGCAGGATGCCCTTCTGGGGACTGTGAGGGGAGGTGAGATGGAGGGAGGGGCGGGGCTGACTGTGCTGGGGTGGGCCTGTGATATGTTCTGTTGGGCCAGGACGAGGAGCAGAAGGATCCTAAGGGACAGATAACAGGGAGGGATGGAAGGAGTCTACAGGCCACTCAACCGGGGTGTCAAAGTGGTACATCAGACCCCACCCAGCTCCCTCCCCCATCCCACTCCCCCCGCTGGCCTGCAGCATGGAAAACAATACAGCCCACAATCAAGGGGCAATTCTTTCTTATAGAGAAGTTGTTATAAGAAAACCTTGATTCTGGGGACATGTATGGTATTTGTTCCCCTGTCTTCATTGTCAGACTGTCAGCTGCTCTGCCCCATGCCCAGCTCAGGGCAAGGGACGCAGGGTCATCTGTTGCAGTGAGTGGCTGATGGAGGTTGGCCCATTTTGCTCTGAGCTAGAACCCTGTGAAACTGCAGGAGTCAGGAAAAAAGAACAGTCTCAGAAAAGCAGCCAGGAGACAGCAAGGAGTCTGGGCAGGCAGCTGCTGGGCAGAAGCAGGCAGACAGGCAGATACAAAGGGGACAGAAGGAAGGACTTCACATGGGTCACCATTGCCTCAACGTTGCCTGGTCTGCCTCTGAACATGAGCCCCAGGACTGGGAGGGTCAAACAAGTCACCCCCTTGGCCCTGGTGTCAAAGGGCCTTATGACCTCCTGCGAGAATCCCCTACGGCTCTCCTGGCCTGAAGAGTCAGGTCCCTGACTCCATGCCCCCTGCTTTCCTCCTCCAACCACGGGGCACCCCTCTGTCCCCTGGGCTTGCGGAAGCCAGCATGTTTATTGTTGGCTGAGAGCTTTGGGGAGGGTGACCGCACTTCCCTTGGAGGCTGGAAACTTGCCTATGCTGGAGTCAGAGGGAGGAGGGAGCCCATGTCAGGCACAAAGCCCTGTGTTTCAGATGCATTATTTTCTCCAAGCCAAGCAACAACTCTGGGAGGTGTAATTATTTTCTCCCCATTCCACAGATGGTAAAGCCAACTCAGATGAGTTACGTACTTACCCACAGCAACCCAGGTAGTAACACACAGAACTGAGATTCCAATCCAGCTCTCTTTCCCTACTGTTACTCTCGATTGTTGTTGTTATGTTCTCTTTAACTGCAAACCAGCACTGCCTCTAGAGTGTTCCTGAAATGCCCCTTTGACTATTGACCCTTCGTTTCAGTCAAAAGACATCAAAATAACTCTCCATATACCAAAGGGGTACAAATCAGGGAAAGTGAGTTCCCAAGACCCTTTCCTGCCATCTGCTGGTCACCTGCCAGAAGTGCATGCAAATCCACAAAGACCACCCAGGTGAAGGAAGGCCCTGCCTCCCAGGAGAAGTGAATGAGCATAAGCACCGAGCCTTGAGCAGAAGACCCCTTCCCCAGGCAAGACCTTTCCCCCAGTTGGGCTGGATCCTTGTACCAAAAATTCGTGATTTCATTGAGCACCTGTGATATTTCTGGCCTTTAACTTACTGAAACCTCAGAGAGATTGGCTCAACTATTCACTGGCAAATGTGAGACTGAAAAGCAGGACCTGACCAAGGCTCCCATGACTGGTTTGTGGGTTGGTTGGTTTTACTTACAGTCTCTGTGCCTCCATTTCCTCTTCTGTAAAATGAGGGTAACATAGTACTTTCACATAGGACTGTTGTGATGATTAAGTAAGTTAATGAATGCTAAGTGCTGGGAAGAGGACAGGACATACAGTGAAAACTAAATGCATGAATATTTGCCTGCATCACACACACACACACACACACACACACACACACACACACAGGTAAACAGTGCAAACCAGGAAATGGCCCATCACCTGGAACCAGAAGTCTCAAGTTAAGTCAGCAGGTCCTTTGCTTTCTATCACGTGTCCTTGAGAGCATTGCACAAGGTCACTGAGCCTCATTTTCATGCCTGCATAATGGGGACTATCGAACTTCCTGTGTCCTGGGGCTGCTGTGAGGAGCCAGACATCTGTGATCACTGTGTATAAGCTATTAAGGGCTTTTCAGGTTATGTTAACACTGCAGAGGGGTGTGAGGCTGCAGAGCATCCCTGAGGCCTCACCTGGGACAAGCGGCTAGAGCCTGGGGAGGACAGAGGTAGTGTCCTCCACCGCCCTGGCCCTCAAGCCCAGGGAGCACTAGAACCCCCCAGGAATATAGCAGCACCCCCTTTCTAGAGTGATGAGTTCTGTCCCCTTCTCCCTGAAGTATTTCCACATCACCCCAGGAAGTGAGGTGTGGTGGTGCTGGCAGCTGATTGAAGGGCTCCACCCTGCATTTCAGCATCTCCACAGTGGACAATGGGCTCAGGTAGCCCGAGCATGGAAGCTTACAGAGTGTCTCTGCCAGGAAAAAACAGGGAGCATCAGGCCCAGGGAAGGAGGCCCTGGCGTGGCAGTGATGCAGGACCACACACGGGCCACCAAGAACAATAGCCCAGCCCTACCATCTTTGACTCTCTGGGAGAGATTCAAGGTGAAGTCACAATCTGGCAAATACCAGGGTGGGTCACTGGAGTCCAGAGAGAGAAATACAAGCAGCCTGGGCTGTAATAAGAAAGAGGTCTGATGAGTGGGTCACCATGGAGGGAGGAACATCTCAGGATGGCCACCTGCTGTGTGTGGACTATTTCCATCAGTGGGTAGATGGGTCAGGGCCAAAGCTGGTTGATTGAAGCCATGAGAGGAGGGAGACATGGGGACCCAGCAAGTTCACAAAGGTGGGTCCAAGAGAGGATTCACCCCGGACAAATGGAAGGTCAGATATTTGAGCATAAACACCAGCTGCCAAGAAGACAGGAGGAGAGATGAGGCATCTCGTGTCCAAGTAAAACCCTAGGGGCTTACTCAGCACTGGGTCCAAAGAAACGAGCCAAGAGCGTGAGATATAGCCACCAAACCAGCAAGTGAAAATAAGTTCTTGGGACAGAAAGAAGCAATGTGACTCACTTAGGGCCACCCGTGAGCCCACGGCCCAGAGATGTGCTGTTCCCGAAGCAGCCCTGGACGAGTTCCCCATTATGGGCTCATCTGGGCAAGGGAACAGGCGTGGGGCGGGTCCCACAGCCAAGCACTGGAGCCCAGACGCAGCACACATGGGCCTGCAGGACGGTGAGGGCCCTTGAAGCCACTACACGTGGCAGACAGCTGTGGAGCCCAAGAGTTGGTGGCCTGTCAGAGTAGGCTGTTTTTCGGGGCACAGAGGGGTAGCAGCATGACCAGTGTGGACAGAGATGGACTGGCATCTGCTTTAGAGAGAATGGATGAGAAGGACTCTGGGGTTCTGCAGGAAGCCCCTCTGGTTTCCAGAGACCAACCCAGACGGCTCTCTGCTCTCTCGCATCTTCCCAGACACAGCTCCCTGTGCCACAGGGACGAGAGCCTATCCTGGCTCCCAGTCCTCAGGAGAGGGCGCACTCCACTGCCAAGATGCCCTCCACAGGCTGTGCTGTGGCTGGAGCACCTGGCCCATTCTTCCCTCCTCTTCTTCCCCCTTTAGTGTTGATCGGCGTGGGCACTGAGACCTTCCTCCAGGGACAGTTCAAAAGCTTGGCTTTCTATCTGCTGTGAGTATGTGTGCATGTGCCCCTCCCTGCCCACACATTCTGCTCTAGCTCACCCCAAGTCCACAAGTCGATCTGCTGAGACTCATCCCAGCACCGCCCCCCTTAACCACATGAGCTCCATTCTATCCCAAAGGTGAAAGGGGTAGAAGGGGCTTCTGGAATACCCCCTTTGTTTGGGAAAGGACCATCCCTTTGTTTAGTCAGACTATCCAATAAATCAACCAGTTAGCATTCCAACCATCCACCCACCCACCCACCCATCCATCCACCCATCCATTCATTCATCCATCCA